CTAGTTTTTTTCCTTGAGAACTTTTCGATCGAACGTTCTTTTTTAAGCCAGAAACAAATCTGTGTATTAATGACGTCAGAATGTTCTGAAAGGAATATATTCAATAAAACTCATACTTATTAGAAGGTCGTAAGTCATGTCACATTAGGTCACAAGAAGCATGTAAGAAACAAATATGGTGAACGGTTCCTTACAACCACGTGGATATAAAAACTCAGTCTCAGTTTTCTTTTAAATTGTTTTAAATACTTAGGTTGATATCAAGGAGAAACGTGTGATTCATGTTACTAGGTTGAAACAAGTCTCATAATTTGATGTTTCTACCCACTAGCCTCTTTAGATTCTTTCTTAAACTAAGCAGTCGATTCGTTTAGAAGCTTTTCGTGCTTAAACTGTCACAGATATCTAAGTGAAAAGTTTACTCGCACAATCTGGATGTTGACTTCAAAAATTAAAGATATTTATTCCAGATAATAAGGGCTAGAACACGAACGGGACGATGTTATGTATGTTTGCTTTCTTTTTGATGTTATTTCAAATAAAAACTGGATTATATCTGAGGTATTTCAACGAAATAATTGTGGATTCAGCAGAAAGTTATTCGAAAATTTTTCCAGCGTTTCCGAAAGTGTGGGATGCGCTCCAAATGGATGCAAATGGAGGTGAGGGGGAGCGAACGATTACGGTAGAATTCATAGTGCAATAAATACAAAATTAAACGTTTTAATATATCTTTATTAGTGAAAATAATTGATACAACGCATAAAACATTTTAATGTTGTACATCCTTCTATTATATCTCGTCAGTTATCGGTTAGAAATTACTAGCCCAAGGGGGGGGGGGTGATGTTGAATAATTACCGTCCCTGTAAGCTGTTAGAGCTCATCATGAGATAAAAAATTTATATAACTAGCCTTTATGATATTTCAAAAAAAAATCGTCAAATAACAGTCTGGACTTAAGAGGCTACCAAGCTCATTCAAGAGTTCACCATCTTTTAGTTAGGCCTAATTAGTTTGAAACTTTAAAGTGAGTAAATTATTTAAATGTCAGTTTCATTCGCATTCACTCTTAACTTGTTTATATTTCAATGTCAAGCTACACGACGTTGTTCCCACCGCGGGTATCGATCCCGAGTTTTAAGGTTTTTAATCCCTCAAGTTTACTTCCGAACCACCAGGGGCACCTTCGTTCAATATCTGTCAATTTTTACCTTTGAATAACGTTTATTTGTACTAATCTAATTCTAATATTCTCATACTTTAACTGAGGTTGTAACTAATATGTAAAGTACGTGCTTTTCCTAAAAAAAAATTATATGATATTAATCAGATTAATTCATTTCTTCTCATACACAAAATTGTTCACATGCTTTGTTTGTTGCTTTTTTTTTCATCCTAAAGAATTGAATGTAAGCTGTTTCCACTTTAATCAAGCTGTATAAACAAGTTGAATTCGAGCGTTGGGTGTTTTCGTTTTGCTTATGAATCTGAGAAAATTGAAACTACAAGTTAGTTGATTTTCAGTGAGGATAAAGAAGAAAATCTTTCAAAGTCAGCGAGAAACTGAAATCCAGAACTCGTAGAAAAAGTCAAATATCTAATGCAAAAAAATAACGAAATCTCGTTTCTGCAAACAGTTTTCTAAAACTGAAAATCCAAGATAAATAATAGGTATTGCTACATCAAAATCCGGAATAAAAACACAAAAAAACTCGAAGGATAAAAAGACAGAGAGAGCGGGTGTTTATCCAGACCGTTATCTCCCTGAAGGCGATAATAGTACAGAACCACGAGTCTGTAGTAATATACTAGAAACCTTATCATTCGTTACTTTCTTCCTTCACAATAGACCGATACTTCTATGTAACAAACAAACAAAGTATTCAGTTACATCTTGTTTGTCCTTCCCCTGATGGAACAGCGGTAAGTCTACGGACTTACAACGCTAAAATCCGGGATTCGATTCCCTGCGGTGGACACAGCAGATGGCCCAACGTGTCTTTGCTTTAAAAAGCAATCCTTCCCCTCCACGTGCCTGTCCTTACCGTGACCGATGTTTGAAAGTAACTAGTTACTGCACCGACTGAAGACATCCGGGCACTCGATGTGTTTACAGTCGGATGGAATCTGGGAATATTTTATAATCACTCCCACTTTCAGTGTTATTTCTCCACTCGTGCGTCACAAGACTGTACGAAATTGACACTATAGGTTCCACATGATGGTGGGAGACTGATGTTGGAAGAAAATTTTCTTCATCCAAATAACTAAAACTTTCTTCCTGTTATACCGCTTCTTTCCTATGCTTTCATCTAACGCCGGTGGCTCGGCGGTACGTTTGAAAGCTGATAGCGCTACAAATCGGGATTCGATCGCTATAGTGAGCACAGGACACATTTAATAACACATTTGTGCAATTAGAGTCGTGAATAGTCTAATGATTGGAGTGCCCAGACTGTGGATCCGAAGATTCATGGTTCGCATCCGTTTGCCGCAAAAACTCACTCCTCACTTTAGAGCCGTGGGCAAACGCTCTAACACTGACGGTTAGATACCACTACTGTTCTAAGAGTAGCCCAAGAGTTGGCGGTGGGTGCTGTTGGCTAGTTGCCTTCCATCTGGTATGGAAGGTTGAGTACGTTATATTAAAACGTTTTTGGAGCCTTACAACGTCATTGCTTTCCATATCGCCACAGCCAGTCCTGATCTATCCGACGAAAGTGCATGTTGACGACAGCCCTGCAGCGTAGTTGAACTGTAAAAGGCACCAACGCAAGGTTATCACGGCCGCCTCACACAAGTAAGCTAGAAACAGCAGCCTGGTGTAAAGTGTTTTTTGTTATTGTATTACTCTACAATAAACTGTTTGAGTGTCGTACACCGAGGACCTGGAGTGGAGTGGAGTGTAAAGGAGTTAGATTGCAGCGGTTAAGTTTTAAGAAGCTGAATTATGCTTTTATGAATCTTTCAATAAACCGAGACAAGTTTTAATTATTGTATTTATATTCTCGTTTAATTCTTGATGGGACTGATATGCGTTTGGAGATTACTATGATTTGTCATTATTATTTACGACGTTTATTTAACAATATGATCTTACTGAAAGGGCTGGGTGTGGTCTAATAGTAATTTTGCCAGGACTGTGAGTCTATGTTTGTAGTCACGTTGCCTAAACTGCGCCCTGCACTTTGGAGCCGTGGGTGCGTTATAAGAGTGACGTTAAAATCTCACTTTTCAAATCAAAATAAATGAGTTTGTTTGTTTGTTTGAAGTTAAGCACAAAATTGCAAAATGGGCTATCTATGCTCTGCCCACCACGGATATCGAAACCCGGTTTATAGAGTTGTAAGTCCGCAGTCATACCTATGTCCAAGAGGGGGGGGGCAAACTAGCGAGGGCTATGCATTAATAGCCCTTGTGTAACTTGCTCGTAAAAGCCTAAATAACAAACAACACCTTCTTGAAATAAGATCTGATTTGTGTTTTAGCGTTGTCATAAATTTCCAACCGAATTATTTATTAAAACAAAAAACGTATGTTCAACCGTTACGAAACGGCAGCCACTTGACCAGCAATGTTTAGAAGAAATGAAACTGATGAATTATGATGCTCTATTGATGAATTTTTGTTACTACTTAAGGTGTTGTTCAAACTATTGTTATTATTTAAGGTGTTGTTCAAACTATTGTTATTATTTAAGGTGTTGGTCAAACTATTGTTACTACTTAAGGTGTTGTTCAAACTATTGTTATTATTTAAGGTGTTGTTCAAACTATTGTTATTATTTAAGGTGTTGCCAAACTATTGTTACTACTTAAGGTGTTGGTCTAACTATACGCTATTCCTTTTATTTTAAGTAGTAACAAATTATAATTTCGATTTTTTAAGCCTAGCGAGTATAAAGTGAATTAAATTCTAGTAGACGAGGCGGCAAGTATAACTTTGTAATTTAAGTTAAACTATTTGCATTTGAAGCTAAATTGTTAGTGTAATTTATATACTGTATATTTCTTAGTCCTTTCATCGTTATTACCCAATAAAATTATAAATCAACTTGTCAGGTCGTAAATGTTGCTTCTATTTGTAAATTAAGAGGCTGGCTGAGAAATACAAGTTGATGTATTAAATAGACACGACAATTTATTACAAATATCAACTTACGTTTTAGTTTTATAATTTGACGTAAGGTGGTTTTGCTATTGATCAAATGGTCGAACATGAGCTTTAATTTTTTTCTACTTTTTATGTTTTGTGTTCTTAATGTTTTAATAGCTTTATGTTTTGTGGTCTTAATGTTTTAATAGCTTTATATTTTGTGGTCTTAATGTTTTAATAGCTTTATATTTTGTGGTCTTAATGTTTTAATAGTTTTATGGTTTGTGTTCTTAATGTTTTAATAGCTTTATGTTTGTATTCTTAATGTTTTAATAGCTTTATGTTTGTATTCTTAATGTTTTAACAGGTTATGTTTTGTGGTCTTAATGTTTTAATAGCTTTATGTTTTGTGGTCTTAATGTTTTAATAGCTTTATATTTTGTGGTCTTAATGTTTTAATAGTTTTATGGTTTGGGTTCTTAATGTTTTAATAGCTTTATGTTTGTATTCTTAATGTTTTAACAGGTTTATGTTTTGTGGTCTTAATGTTTTAATAGCTTTATGTTTTGTATTCTTAATGTTTTAATAGCTTTATATTTTGTGGTCTTAATGTTTTGATAGCTTTATGTTTTGTGGTCTTAATGTTTTAATAGCTTTATGTTTTGTATTCTTAATGTTTTAATAGCTTTATATTTTGTGGTCTTAATGTTTTGATAGCTTTATGTTTTGTGGTCTTAATGTTTTAATAGCTTTATGTTTTGTGTTCTTAATGTTTTAATAGCTTTATGTTTTGTGGTCTTAATGTTTTAATAGGTTTATGTTTTGTGTTCTTAATGTTTTAATAGCTTTATGTTTGTGTCTTAATGTTTTAATAGCTTTATATTTGTGGTCTTAATGTTTTAATAGTTTATGTTGGTTCTTAATGTTTAATAGTCTTATGTTGTTATCTTA